AAAAAAAAAAGAGAGAGATAATGTAGGCCTGTAATACTCCTGTTAAATCCAAGCATAACTTACCCCTGGACAAGTTCTGTTAGTGCAGTTACGTGATTTTAGATGGCCATAAGGCGATGCCAGTCCAATCAGCCTCGCATCTCTGCAAATGTTTTTGGAAGAGAGAAGTGAAATACAGCAGCAGGACCGTTTCTGGTGACAGCTTGTGTGTATTTAGTTTTGTTTTGTTTCCAACTCGAGAATCCACACAGCTTGGCCCAATGTCAGGAAAGTGGGATCTAGTGTAAGCAAAGGATCAGCTCTCCAGCTGGCAGGATGCGTGGCCTTTGGTGGTCCTAGGGGCGGTGTGCCAGGCGGCTACCATCAAAGGTTGCAAAATAACTCTGCTAATGGCCTCAGACCTTTTAGATGGATGAAAGGAGTATTTATTTTTTTTTCTGTAGGAAGACTAAAGCAGAACTCCAAGTCCCATGCTACAATTTATCAATAACAATAAAAAAAAAATCTGGATAGAAATACTTCCAGTCTTAAGATGATCCTGCACCAAGATAAATGCTGAGACTCAACGGAAGGTCAGGATGGGATAAGCTGCAGGAAAGCACAGCCCTGACTGTATTTCTCCTCTGGCACAAGACACAAGACCTTGCTCAGAGGGAAAGCAGAAGTTAAATATACATTGACAGACAGCATTGTGTGCTAAGCCAGTACAAGTTACAACAGCTGTCAATTTTTATCCTTACAGAGCATTCACAATGGCATTTTCCAACAGGAGAACATCACTGACAGCAATATGACAGCATTACTGAAACATATCACTCCAGCCTAAGTGAAACGGGCTCTCCTCCCCTCCATTCAGATGCAAAGACTGACCTAAAGCAACTTCCTACAAATTCTGGTACAGCACAGGCTTGCATAGACATGCTGATTGCATTTAATTCAGTTATACTGAAAAAAATGTGTATGATAAGCTATGCATATATGCTTGAAGTTCCTGGAAGCGGACTGAGACAAAACCATGCTGGAAAGAGACAAAAAAATAAAGCTGGTGCTATGTAATCCATAGTGTGCGACTATGAAGAGGAAAAAACAGAAGCAAAGCATTTAACAAGGACACATGCTTCTATTCTTTTCATTTCAAAGGCTGTCCAGGGCAAAGATACTATCAGTGACCTAGTCAAAGGAAAAAAAAAAAAAATCAAAACCAAACCCTAAAAAAGCTCTCCTCTCTTCAGTCTTACCTGGAAAACACTGTTGCGGCTTTTGAGCCTCCGGAGGGACCTTCCCTAATAAATTAACCTTTCTGAATGGAAGGCAGGGAAACTGAAGAAAATTGCACAACTGTTCTCAAACAAAAAAACTAGTCTCCAGCACTCAATAGCTTTTCTGTAAAATACCAGATATAAGCACCCACTGTTAGCCAAGAACACCAGCTGTGAGCCCCCCTGGCTGGAACTCTTGGTATTTAGTGTACAGCAAACACAGGTAATGTTTTGTGGTTTACCTGGCAAGAAAATAAAGCTGTCTCCCCAAATATAAACCCTGATTATATTCACTTTTAGTTGTCAAAAAACTAAGCACAGGCTCCTAGGGCTCAGTGGAATACCGTTAGTCACAGAGACAACAGATACCCAAAATAATCTACACAGCCTTGAGCTGGGTTTTCTCTGTACATTTAAGGAGTAGGTACACTGTGCATCACATTTTGGGACTCTGGCTCCCTCCAGTGCTGGGGGCACTGAGGTTGAGAGGGAATTTCATCAGTGAAAGATTTCATCATCACACCAAGCAAGCGGAAGGTTTGCTCTTGCCACATAGCAATGTGCTGTGAGGAGATAATGCAAGAGTCTTTTATTTTTAATTTATCAGAGGCAAGACAGGGCCGAGCACTGCTGTGCTCTCCCTGGGATCCACAGGCACAAAACTCTCCTGGCTGCCGTACTTTCCAGCACTAACAGACAAGACCCATTCAGAGTTACAAACAGCAAACCTAAGCCAAACAGGGATTTTGATACTCGTTTCCCTCCCCAGATGCTTCAGACAAAGCAAAGCCAATTTTCACATTAAATACTAAAACGTCTGCACCTAGATGTGAAGTGTTCGAGTCACTGCCAAGTGACTGGAATGTATCTGACAGTTTATACCTGGAATTATTCTTTGGCTCTTTTTCAGTTATATCCAGAAAACACACCACAGCCCAATTCTGTTCCTATTCCTTTTCACCACTGGCTGAAATCCTAACGAGAACACCATGGTTCCTCAGATATCGTACAGTATTGGAGAAAAAGGAGGGTCTTAGTCTTCTATTGAGGATATACTTCTGAGTATAGCAGTCCTTCAGCTGAAATAGCATCCCCAAGTCCCACGGTCCGGACGGGATCTTTACACACCAAAACAGGAGTGAAATGGAATGAGATGCCTTCCCTGTGCCAATGCACCACTGGCTCATCTGGATTTAAAGAGATTTTGGAAGGTGCCTCTATCTGGGAGGTCACAAACTCCAAAGGAGCTTTAAGAAAGACTTTGCTGGTATCGATGGTTTCAGTCGCACAAGCCTGAGTCCCTGCTGCTCTAGCTCCAGCAGCCACAGCCGCAACCTGGTTGCCCCAGTAGCCATCCACTGTGACAAGGATATGATAGGCCAGGGTGTGGAAGTGGATCCGCGTGAGATCAGAGGCCCGGTCCGCTGTCTTCCCGTGCTCCTTCAGGATCCAGAAGAGGATGTCGCTGACTACACCCACGTCGGGAACTCCACTCCAGGAAGCAAGGGAGGCGTGGGGACCAGAGGCAGACTGCGTGAGGAACAGCAGTTCTTGTTCGTTCAGCCCAATGGAGTTCACCAGGGGAAAGACCTGCTAACAGAAACACAGGAACAACAGTTTCTCCTTCAGAGAGAGAATCAGACTTTGGTCTTCCTCATTCAGTTACAATACTGTGTTACCGGCTCTACTGCCAGCGTGCTCAGCAGAAGAGAGCACCCAGTTTCCTGGAGAGATGCAGGCCAAAGTCGCTGCACAAGCTTCTCCAGTTCAACAAGTTTACAAGAGTTACTTAGCCAAGAAAGCACTTCACGCCAAGGGTGCGTGCTCATTTTGTGCCATTGATTTTCTAGACACACACTTCGACATTAAAGAGTAACAAAACATCAAATCCACATCAAACACTCATACCACTGAGATTAGAGCTGTGTCAAGCTAAACAAGGAACTATCAGGATCTGCAGAAAAGAAATTCTGCAAAGAAATCTAGATTTTTTAAAAATGATAAACTCAGCTCAAATTCAAATCCTGTTTCTTCTAGAAATCTGCAGGCCTGCTAAATCTAAACCAAAGTTACTTGTATTTGTGGAGCTGTGAGTATCCTCCAGGGTCGCTTTCCCCCCATGATTGCGAAAAATCTTTGTATCAGAGAATAAAGCCCAGCTGTGTTGCACAGTATTTTTACTGAATACAGTTGCTGAATAAACTCAGATCTGCAAAAAATCCTTACTCCTTGCTGAAAACGGTCTGATGATCAACTGAGAGCATTGTAAGATATCTCCTAAATGAAACTTTCCAGAGAGACCTTTCTAAAAGGAATACTAAAACTGTCCAATGCTAAGTCATTACAGATCTCCTTCGCTGCACAGAGGAGACTCTGGTAAGCTCAGTGGAGAAAACAGAAGCATTCAGAATGCAATAGCAGACATTAAACCCATGTTCTCAATTTATCTTCAAATGGATAGCCCTAATTTTAAGTTTTCATTTCTATATTCATCTACCAGTCTGTGCATTGTGATACTGAAGAAAAGGAAACTGATAAAAAGAGTGTGTCCTTTCATTTTTGTTACCTGATGCATAATGTTGCTCATAAAATCTTGATCAGTCATACTGGCCAACTCCAGGTGTATGGGAATGTCAGTAGGGATATCAGAGATGGAGGCCACAGCCTACAGGGGTACAGGAAAAGAAAAAAAAAACCCACCCTAAAACACATATTCATCAAGAAACAGAAAGAACAAAGGGGTTTTGACTCAGACATACACATCCTTTAATCTTCTTGTGTATGGATTTAAACACAAATCCAAATGAGATGTCTGACAAGAACACCTGCTAGAACGTACTACTAAGGGGAAGAAGTAAAAACAACTTCTAGTTTTCAGAATCCCAGAGCAGGAAAACTGTATCTAATCCTAATCTGCACCCAACTCAGCACTCTTCTAATGGACCAATTCAGAAACCTCACAAATCTGAAGCAGCTGTAGAACTGCTGATCCTAGAACAGAGGTGGTGGTGGTGGGGGGGAAGTCTAGTGCATTGCATCAGGAAGGGCACTCAGCTGTAAGACAGGCAATGATCTGTAAATAAAAAGAAAACTTGGTGTAGCTCCTTCGGGCTCAGATCAGAAAGCTGCCTCTTGAATTATCTAACATAGATGCTGCTTAAAGAATGCAAGTCTTGATTATGACCTTGATCATCATAGTATCTGGGATAGAAAAAGTGTAATTTAGCCACTAGATAAGCTCCAGTAACTATGCCAACATATTCCAGCCAGACAACCAGACCATACCTTTTTTTCCCTAGACAACCCACTGAATCTAAGAAACACTAGTGTTACAGGATTAGACTTTTGCCACTCCTACAGTTCACATTCTTCTTTTAGCATGCAATACTGAAAAGATTTGTGGAAAATCTGAAGACACAGCCTAATTACAAGTTCAAGCCTGGGAAACCAAAAGTTTGCCATGAAGCATTTGTTGGTGTCGTGGTTTAACCGAAACCAGGACAGTTGGAATACAAATTAAGGTGGTGTTCAAGCATCTTACCTCCATAAGTCGTCTCTGCCGCATCTCCTTGCTCTGGCCTTCCATCATGTGAAGTCCTGAAAGTACCACGAGATCTGGCTGAAATTCATCCAAGCTGGACACAAACACTTCCAGCATATTTAAGGCGCCATTTGATAGGTCATGGGAGAAGATGAAGCGGTTGGCATTGGGTGCTCTCACTTGTCCCCACTCTTCACCTAGGTGAAACAAATAGAAGCAAGTTAACTCAGAAGAGAAGCAAATCAAACCACGTATCTGGAGATTGTTTTGGGATATCCCACTGGAATCCAAAGGCACGGTTTCACAATATGTCTGTGCCCAATTAACAGATACTGCCAGCCACAAGAGAAGTCTTGCTCTTTTTCTCATTCATTCTTTTCCTTCACTCCCTCTGCCTCATTTAGATGCTTGTCTGATCAGAAGGGAAATTCAATACTTATTTGTTTGGTTTTGCAAGCTTTGTGATGTTTTAATCAGTTGTATTAGTTTATGATGCAATTAGGTGAGTGTCACAGCCAGCTCAAGCCAAACATTTGGAGCGTGCAGGATCTGCAGAGAGAGGGGAGACCTTCCCCTTTTGGCAACAACCACCTCTTAGCTTGACTCAAGTTGTATCATGAAGGTACACCCTGAAAAGTCTCATGGCTCTTACTATTCCTGACCGCACAGCTCCCAGAAATGATCTGCAGAATAGAGTTGCATCAGTGCTGTATGTGTAAATGGTTTTATTCCTGGATAAGATCACAAATTAAATGAGCTCCATCTCCGGGACACTGAGCCATGACAAAACAGGGTAACGACAGCGAGCTTAGAGAGGATACAAATTGCACAAGCCACAGTCCAACTGGCCAGCCCTCTGGCAGCTCTCCCCATCTGTACACACATCTTTGTTCAGGCAGCAGGCAGTTCCTTGTGCCAGTTGCGATAACTGGACAGAAAGAAATGCAAGGGAATAAACACACACAGGTCACAAAGGACAGCTTGATCAGAACGCTCTTGAGACACAAGCATTTTTGAGGCTATTATAGGCAGAATCTCCACCTTAGAACCAGCCTGCGTACGTGTTCACTCAGCTCTCCCAGACTGTATACTGGTTATACTATGGAGGATATGACCAGCTTTTATGGAAAAGCCACTAAAACAGCACCAACAGCCATCAATGCTGCCTCCTCTTAAGATAAGTCTTACGGCAAAGTTCTGTCTAGGACAGAGATCCCCAGAGTTGCATCAGGAGGGCAGTTCTCACCTGAGAACAGAGACGCTGAGAAAAGGAGACATCATATACTAATGTATCACCTAACTAGGATGCTTCCAGGAGCAAGAAGAATTAAGATTCACTTAAGACATTAGTGCAATTTTAGAAGTCCTACTGTGTAACAGCACTTGTCAGTTATAGTAACCTTGTTTCAGCCAGAAGTCCATCAGAGTGCATGCTTTGGGTGCTGCTCCACATTCGTTTCGCTGCTGAAAAAGTTTAATTAAGATGGTTCTTGCCTTCCCTCCTTGCCAAATACTCCCTCTTCTGTCACACCAACATAACTCTTTCTGAAGCTATATATTGAGATAGGACCAGTGGAATAACTCAGGTTGAAAACAGTAAGAAAATACATACAGATTTGTTTTAGCCATTACATTAAGGTTACCCTGAATTTCATCTGCATGTGGTTAAATGGTACCTTTCTGTTTTCAGAGAAAATTACTGGACTATTTTAGTGTTCATACAGCTTTAGAATTACATCCTTCAGGTCTGCTTAGGCTATGCATCACAACAAAATGAGAAGTCCACTTGGTTTCTATAGGTTATAGCATACAAACATACAGAACTAGAGGGATGGCAAGATAGCGGCATGAGTCAGTATTTACAGTCACCATATTACAAAGGAAAGAAGTTTCAAAAGACTTTTAGATGTCTGTTCACCTACCACAGCTCCCTGAAGCGCATGGAATTACCGGATTAGCCCAGTGACAGCTGCCAGTAGTGATAACTTACACAGTTCTTCTGGAATTAACCGATTCAAAAAAGAACAACTTTAAAACCAGGACTATCTTAGTGATGTTCAGGGTCCCCAGCTAACATCCAGCCTTTGGCAAGGTACCTGCTTGATACTCCAAGATAAGATGGAATTCATCTCTTTCCTGCATGGATTCAGGTGGCACAACCACATTGTCATCAAGTAGTTCATGGAGTTTAGGACCAACTGGGCCACAAAGGAGGATCTAAGAAAACAAGAAAAAACAATCAAGGATCCCCTGCCATGTCCCTTGCCAGCATTTCAGAGCATCTAAGCATCACCTAGACAATTGATTTTTAAAAATAATGATTAAATTTTTAAAAATCAGCTATGCTTTTCAACTCGTAAGGCCAATCATATGTTCCACCATAGCCTAAGAAATAACTGCAAGATCCCCAAAATGTACAAGGAAGTAATTTAAGCCTCAGCGACACGCGAATAGCATGAAATTTTTGGAACGCGTACCTTCAGGTCTGGATTTGTTGCAAGCTTCTGACCGATGAGAGCAGCATTTCCTCCTACATAAAGCTGTAAAACAAATAGAGGCAGGTATGGACATTCCCTTGCTTTGATGGTTTATACATGCTCAGTCCTCAGTATAGGCTAGAGATTTTAGCTTTTTAGAAAAGGGTCTAGCATTACAGAAGTTAATAAAGCTTACTGGGGCTGAAGGCAAAACAATTTTACAATTCTCTGTGAGATCTCAACACGTTCAGTGTTCTCTGACTTTTTAAAATCTAAATATTCGCCTTCAGGTAACTCACAACCCTGTACAAATCCATTCATTCATAACATAAACAGCCCCTACTTCTGTGCAACTTTTCTGTGGCAGTTGATAACTTGTGGTTTTTTAGCAAGGCTGACAAGCAGTCATTTAAAAACTGCAACAACACTTCCTCCAGTTTGAAAAGAAGGTTAAACCTGCTACCTGTGCCCACATGAAGTGAGCGGAACCATGAAAGTTTCTTCAGGTAAGAAAGGTGAAACTTTCAAGTGAGAAAACTCTGACGTCAGCTTTGAAACCAAAGAATATAGATTGTCATGAGGATCACAGGCACTCAGAGGTGACAGAAAACAGGCTATAGCAGGATACAGCTAATAATCAGGTGATTCCAGCAAGCCAACATAGCAAACGTGGTGAGAAAAAAGTCAACACAGGAGAGCCTTGACCAATAAAAGGCATTTAGAGCTCCTCCTCATTTTCAAAAGCAGCTGGCGAACTGCTTAGAAGGCGGCATTAAGCAGTTTGTAGAAATTAGCTAACTGCCAAGCAAGATATCAAGCTAGATTCAGAAGACCCAGTATAAATTAGAGCAACAAAACTTTGCTTTTGGGAAGGGAGGCTTCAGAAAAAATATTTATTTCTTTTCATCACTCCTAGAGAGAATTTAAATCCTGCATTAAGCAGCCGAAGCTGATCGGAGCGTTTACAATGCCTAATGCTTCGGTCTATTTCCTCACTTCCTGCCTCATTACAAGACGTTAGAGCCTCCTTTACAGCATCAGCCCCATCTGCCTCCCATATAACCATATTCTCACAGAGGCAACTTAGACTGACGTTTCAGTTTTGGGAAAGCAAGCAGGGGATAGACCATTCAAAACCCTACTACTTGCAGCACGTGCAGAGTTCCGTGAAAAGTCATCAACGCACTCGAGCTACACCATAAGTTTCTTTCCTAAACGATTGGCTCTCTCACCAGACAGAGAACGAAAGTCACCAACGATGCAGAAAATATGAAACACGCTTCTCAAAGCTTATCTTCAGGTGGAAGACATACCTGTGCACCAGGGTACTCGGAGGCTGTCCGTGCAATGTGATGGAAAGACTCGGCGTCGCTGAAGAAGCGCTCGGCAGCTGCCCCTTTTCCCATGAAGTGAGCGAATGCTTCTTTCAGGTCCTGTCTGGAGTTCAAGACCGCGTGATTTTTCCCATCCCCAGGTTCAAGACCGAGCGCCTCTAACAACTTCACACCGGACAGAACCACGTCTACACAGGCGTTGACACTGCAAGAGAGAAGGAAATACTGGGAAAATCAAACGTACCTTAGGGCACTTGCAATGAGACAATACAATGAGATCACTTCCCAGCCAGTGATGTTTGCCGTTCGCAGCCCTCATGCTGAGGGGGAAAACGACCAACCAAATGAAAAAACCCACAAAGGCATATGAATTTTCTGAAATTCTCTTCTAAAGCGTTCTCCTTTTGACGTGCTTTTATTGCGCTCCAGCACTGCAGAGGAAAGAGGGATTTTTAACATTCTGCTGAATTAAACCAAGAAAGAGTAAGCTGCGTGGTCCACAGGTGGTTGCGTATGTTGCAGTACATGTTGTACTTCATTTGCTAACTTAGGCTTGCTCAAAAAAAGAACAGGCACAATAAGAATAGCATTTTTAATTCTTAAAGAAGCTTTTAAAAAAATACATATTTCAGGTTTAAAACATACATGCAATTCAAAACTGTTAAAAACAAAACTGAAAGTATTTAAGTCTACTAGATCAGCCTCTTGAGTTTCAATTACTCCTAACAATAACCAAAACCACATACACAAACACCCCACACATTGGCTGCTTCTGTTTATAAGAAGTCAAGACAGCAATTTGTCAGTTGAAATATTTGAAAACTGCAATTTCAAAAGGACCATCCCAAATTTCCAGAAATAGCATGCCACCTTCTCTCAAATAGAGGAAACAGGAGAAAAATCTTGCAATAGTTAGGAAGTGATAAGAACTATTTCAGCAGATCTAGACTTTATGTGAAGTCCAACCTGTGGCTCAAATCTTCCAGTCCCCATTTCTTATCAATTACATCAATTTAAACTCAGTCTAAAAGTTTCTGGGCTAGAACCAGCCCCCAGGAAGAAAGTTTATGAACACTTGCCCTTGTTTCTACTCCTTGGCTTCAAAGAGATACCAATATCTACCAAATATTTACTGAGATGATACCAGCAATTAGTAAAGCATCTTCTGGAACTGCTGTCAAGTGCAATTTCTGTTCCTCTGCCCCACGCTTCCCTGACAGGAATCCAAATGATCTATAAAACTTTTGCAGGATCTCTAACTTACTCTGTGTCTATCGACATGACGCTGCAAATGCCAATGCCTGCTTACATGTCAGTATGAAACGCACAGCCATTTGGTATTCCTCCTTGTCGGTGACCTTTCATGCATGATTTGGGCCACAACACGAGGGCTGCATCATACAAAATAAAGGACATTAAAAACCCTGAGGCTTTTCAGTACACGAGGTAACCAGCTCAGAAATCCTCTGCGATGTGCATTATCTCATACACTAAGGAGAAAAAAATCCCCTAACACAGCAGAGAAAAGAAAACCAAAGAAACAATAAGCTCAATTTAGCCCCAAACTCACTGCGGCAAAAGGTCATTTTATATTTTAATGAATCATTAAAGATGCAAGGGGACATAAACCAAGTCACAGTTCTTTCAAGTGAGACACCTCTAATCATCTTCCAACTGTCTTTCTTATCCCCCCCTGCCATTCCTCTGCTAACACACTTCATGCTTTTAATAAACTCCCTTAACAGCAGGGATATGCTACTAATGAACCGCTTTTGCTGTTAAACTTTGAGGCCCTGTGTGTTTGGTGTGTGTGTATATATTATATCTATTCAGTTGCTTTAAAGCAAAGAAGAAAGCAAGGAATAAACCAAAGATACCTGGCTCTTTTCCAGTGAAGGCGTGGCAAAAGAGAGGGCTAAATGAGGCACTGGAAAACCTATTTTGTCATATATTTGCGGGAGAAAGTCTGCATCAACCGTGATGCAAGAGCAAGACAGACTCCAACTAACACTGTATTGGCTACACAGCCATTGAGGTGGAGTAACTTCTCCCACACTTGAAGGCCGAATCTTCTAGTCAAAGTCAAGTTATCCTGTCATGTCCTTATATTTAAAAGAAAGTGAGCCAAGCGCTATATATAATGGCAAGATTAATGGTCAGACTTAAAACCAGCATTTAAGATCAATGTGATATTCCTGAACTTTCCCCTCGCCCTCTTTCCAGTTTAAAAAGAGAAAGGGTGTTGGATTTCCCTGTGCACGCACTTCAACGTCTCCTGCTTTCTCCTCTCCCTTCCCTCCCTCATCTCTCTCCTTTCCATCTCTGCCTTGACTCGGTTAGTTCTCCCCTATCGTGAAGGCTTCGCTCACTTCCCCACTTCATAAACTCGTCTCTTGTACCTATTTATTGCTGGACCGTGCTCCCCAATTGCCACCTTCCTGGGGATGGGCCAGCGGCTCCAAGTCCCTCAGACATTCTGTGTGTATAAATTTGTTTTACAGGCAAGCCAGCCAGGGATAAGGTCTCCAGACCCCTCCCCAGCCGGTCCTGAGCCATGCAGCACACTTAAATCACCAACACATGAGTGTTCTGGACCATTAATCCCCTCAGCCGAGGTCCACCTCTGGTTAAGCAACGCAGCGGGCAGGTGCCGCGCTCGCTGGTGGCTCTCTCAGGGAGATGCCCTCACCTGGAAAACTACAGGCCTGGAAAATTAACGGAGAGGTTTAGCGAACA